TCCTGCTCTCAAGGTTGAGTATTTGGAATGGAATCGTAGGCAGATGACAAGAGGAAAAGGGACTTTCTTCAGCAGAAGAGGATTGGATGACATCCTATGCTGCTGCCTGCAGAAGCTGCAGAATTTAAGGGTGACCTTGGAGCAAATCAGGAGAAATGTTCGGGGAACTGTCATGTAAGTTCTGTCAAGTGTCTAAACTTTCTGTAGCACAGAACAAACAGAAAATCCACCTTCCTTGGAGATTATATAGACTGATATCAGGTATAGTAAAAAGACAAGAGTCTCATCTAAAAGTGTGAATATTAGCATTCCTCCTAAATGTTTTGTAGGCTCTGTATTAGTCACAGCTTTCATGGTCTTAAATCTCTCATGTCCAGCAAGATAACTTCATGCAATAAGAAGCAGCTTAAAATCAGGATTTGGACTTCTAATTAAAGTTAGCTAGTTTTGTTATTAGCATGTTTTGTTTGTTGTTTCACTGCTGATCATTTGTTGACCTACAACTGCTCATTAATTTTACTGGAATTTGCTGAATAATTTTTTGGATAGAAAATAACATAAATTAGCCTTACTTCATATAATCTGTTTACATTTATTGGCCTGGGAGTTAAGTACTCATTCTGGAAGTAGGAAACTAGGATTCAGTTCCCTCTTCTGCTGAAAAAGATTGAAACACACATTTCTTGGAAAGTGATGAAGAACACCATAGGAAAGGTTTCGATCCCTTCTACTGATCCTGTTCCACTTTGCATAAATTCCTGAGCTGGAAAAACAGTGGCAGGTCAGACATCCCATCTCTCAGAATTATCAACAGATGAAAGTGTATTCCAGAGTGGCTCTTCCTTTGCTTTTCTTGCATGACCATGAAAATTAAGTATTTCATCCAAATGAAACGTAGTATTCTACTCCACAACAAAAATCCTGCACTTTTCATTGGGAAGGAAAATATTCCTGCTTCCTTCTCTGTTGTTCAGTTCATCAGCCAAATTGACAAATCAAATGTTCACATTGCAATACTTTCAATCCTAATTCTTTCATAGACATTCTGTGCTGTCATTAGAGCCTGATCCAAAGTTTTACTGAAGCCATTGGAAAGATGACCAAGTTTCTGAATTTTAAAGAGGAGTAAAGTGGTGGGAATTTTTATTAGCTGATTCCAGACCACTGGAGACAGTCTCAAGCAGTTAAGTTATTGCTTTGCTACTGTCAGAAGTTGCATTTAGAGATTACATCTTAAAACAGAGACAAAAAAAGTAATTTTTAACAGAATACAGTTTGTTTTAGGAGTCTCAAGCACTCATGTGACAGTCTTAACTTTTCCTAGCTCTTGAGGAAAACAGGCTTGAGAGATGGAGGATTTACTTTATTACCCTATTATATTTTTAGTGGAGACACTGGGATAATGTCATCTATATTGTATTACTTTTATTATGCATTTTAATGGATAGCAGATGCTCAGGAGTATTTTATTTCTGTAGGTGCTAAATACAGCAAGCACAGTTCCTTCCCTCATGTCAGCAGTAGGGTCTGAAACCAGTGTGCTGGAAATTTAGAAATTAATCTCCTCTATAAATATTTATTTTAAAAATAAATTTTTGATAGGAATTCAGTCTTTTCTTGAAGTCCTTAACAGCTGACAACTCCTCTGTTCTGTTACACTGTAGCCTGTTCTCTACCTTCTCTGAATATATTGCTATTTGTAATGAATACTTAACAGCGGTATTGCTTTTTCTCTTGGTAAAATGTGACTTTTTAAGAAATAAGTTTCTAAGCAAAAACTACTTTCAGTATATTTATTTGCAGAAAGCTAGTTTATGGAGTACACTAATGTTTTATAAGTATTGCTATTATGGCTTTTTGGCAGCAACTCAGCAGGCAATGCCTATCTAGAGAAGCAATTAAGGATGAGGGACTTAACTGTTTGGACAATTAAGAATGGGTACAGCACCTGCTCAAATGTCTCCTTAAACATTTTATTGAAGAATGATATCACACTTTCAACTAGTAACATTTTCCCCTCACTTTTCAAAGGGCAGTTGCCAGCACTGGAAAACATCTCTCAGCACACACTGATTGCAGCATTGAAGACAAATATTAGGATGGGTGAACAAGGAGTAGGTCTCATAATCATACAGAATGGCCCATATCTCCAGATAACAAGCCTTTTTGAGAAAAGCTCTGTAGCTAAAGATGGAAAGCTAAAACCAGGTAAAAAGAACTGACAGTGATATTCAAATTTAATACCATTGAAAATATTCTTGTTCTGCACTTATGCTTTGAGCCTGTCTCTGATTTATTTACACTTACACAGATCAAAAGAAACTCAATTTAAAATTACAGAGACAAGAAACTAGCACAAACTGTAAAAAGCTCAGTGCCAGCATTCCACTGTAATGAAATACCTGTGATCTTAAAATACCTGATATGGGTGACTGTTTCATAATCAGATCAAGATTTAAGTCTATATATTGTTCTCCAGCAAAACCAGATTTCCTATTCATCAGCAGGTTTGTCAAAAAATAGTTTGACTATTACCTTTATATAGCAACTAAACTTGAACAATATCATTCTTTGTTCAGTGCATTATTGTTCAAGTAATTTCACTCTACAAGTTAAACAAAACTTCCCAAAGGCTTGAAATTAATTTTCCTTACTGTTTGCTTTTTATGTCTCTTTATTATACAGAAGAGTTACAAAGTGGCAACGGACTAATCTCTGTGCTCTTAACAATCCATGCAGGTGTTCATTCACTAAATGCTTTAAACCTGAAATGTGCCATATCAGTACTAACAGACTATTACTAGTTATTAAGGTTTCTTGTGGAACATCAGACTCCTATATTAAGCTTGTAATTGAAAGCTCTGTAAATTTGACTGCTTCGTATGGGTCCCTAGGCCAATTATATTAGACTCATGAACTACAGTTTGGGTACAATAGTGTGCTATGTTATTACCATTTATTAAATTGTCTCTAACATAGAAATCTATGAAGCTAAGATTTGAGTATAATGAAGTCATTTAGAAATTTACTGGCTGTATAGTGAAAATGCCTATCTTTAAATTACAACAATTTTCCCAGCATTGCCTTTATAGTTTGGGCAGTCCTTTCTTCTCACACCTTTCAGAGAGAATTAGAATTCCAAGCACTAGGAAGAAAGATCTACTTGCTTGGTGCAATAAAAGCCATTGGGTGGTGTTCTTAACCTCTTTTTAGACAAGGATTTGCACTTTTGATCCAAGTATAAAAATCAGGGGAAAAATCCTGAGGATAAAATAGAAATGGATTTGTATTTGAACAAGTATCCTTTTTTTTAGTATTATTATCTTAGGAGCTGGTAGCTTTAATCTATTCCCTAAAAAGACTCCCTATGGCATACAAAAGCATATAAATGATACTGATTTGGTTATTTTGGGGTTTTTTTTGAATCCATAAGGTAAAAAATACAGAATATTAACTACTGAAACTAAATAGTTCTATTTGCAACAATTTGAAAAAGGCAAGTTCCAAAAGCATTTTCAATAAAGGCTACAAGAGCGAGGAGTCAAATTATTTGTGGCATGTGATTGTTGAGGACTGGTAACAAACATGGTCCCTTTGTAGCTGATCTTAGTTTTTGGAGCCAAAAGAAACAATCTGGGCATGCTTCATGGAGCACCTGGATCAAACTCAGCACATTACACACACACAAAAGACTCAAACAGCTGAATTTGTTCAATTCATGTTTAGAGTGAACTTACAAAAACTTTGTATTTAAGACCAAAGCTGTAAAATTGTGCAGAAAAGATAGTATTTTGTAGAAGTTCCGTCTCTTAATGATACCAGAGGCAGCAGACTTGTTTTTGGCACTAATACCAATGTACAGAGCATGGGGCCTGAGAAAAATACGATGCGCTGCTTAGGAGTTTTTCTTGCAGTGAATTAGGTTTTATCTTTATGGACTTATTTTTTCAGTTAAGTAAGCTGAGTATTATCTGTACGATTTCAAACTGGAACCTAAAAGAACAAGTTTATTACTGCTTATAGCTTGAAAGTGCTGGTGCCATTCTTCTGACTTTAATGAGGAGGATGTAGCAATTAACAAAAGTAGTGAGAGGCGCTGATGTCTTAAAAATCCTACAGTTAGACTCACCAAACTCGTATTTACGCATGCATGGCCTATTCTCCATGCCAACAAGAAGAAACAGGGCTGCTTGGCATGTGAGTTTCCTCAGAATACCTTCATAGGGCAAGAGGTTATCTCCACATAAATCTTCAGTGGCCAGTGAATGGTATCAATCACAAAACTGGTAGGTGAACTGAAAAGCTGGGTGGTTCAGACTCTAGATGCTGGAGCAGAGGAGCAAAATTATCTACGTCTGCAGTTCAGAGATGGCTTTGACTCACAACAGTGTTACCAGTACAGTATGGGCAGAAAAAACAGAATTCTGAAAGAATCTATTAAAAACTGAGAGTGTCTTGCAGATATTTTAAAGCCTAAGTACATTTATGTCTATGCATTTTGAAACACATAAACTGGGTGATTTACCTTTCTGTTTGAGGCTGAGAACTTACATAAAACTGTTGGTAAAACATTTCCTGTTGCTTTTCTGGTGTCTGCTGTCCTGGTACTTGTTCCACACCTTCTTGTTTGCACCCCAGTAGGACCAGTATCTTGTGATAAGCTAGAGTGGAGGGAGGGTGTGATGATGATGGAGTAGGAGTAGTTAATGGAAAAAGTGAAAAAAAGGGTAGTCAGTAGTTCAGGTAAACAGTTTTAAAGCCTGTAAATTTTTGCTACAGGCATTTTTAACCCCAAAGGGTTAAGAAGAAAACAGAGCAGATGGAGAGAGGCTCCTTGCTCTGCAGCAGGAGGTAGCTGTACTGCTTGTTTAAATCCCCTATGCTGTTCTGTTGCAGTTCAGTACATAATGTTTACTGATACTGCTCCTCTGTGCAACTGTTTCTGCCAGGCTGCTGACAGAGCTGTAGTCTGCTGCAGGCTGATTCTGCTTGCCTTTTGCAGTCTCCAAAATTATACGTTTACACAGTAATTGCAATTCCCCCAACTTCTCAAAGCCCATCTTGTTATACCCCACGGTATGTATAGGTGCTGGGGCTTCTGTACTCTGTTGTTCTTGGATGCAGTACTGCTTTTTGCAAACTGCAGCTCAGTGCTTTCCACTGGCAGCAGGCAATAAGAACATTATTTGCAGCCTTATCCCTTAAAACAAACCAACCAACCAACCAACCATCACCACCTCTTTCTGCTGGAACTCTTAAGTTAGATTCTGCACCAGCTCTTGTAGGCACCTCCTACTTCTCCCCTGGCCTCGCTTGACGTTGTCTTGCAATGTGCGCACGCGTTGGTCGTTCTCAGAGCGGAGGGACAGGCACCAGCCACCAAGAGTCAAACCCTGGAAACCTCCAGGGGCCCTGACAAACATAAGGTAACGTGCCTGTCACACAGCATCCACCTAGGTAAACTTAGCCACTGTGGAGGAAGGGGTACACTTGGCTCCATACCAACAGGTAGACAGCAAGGTGACATACAAGGGCAGGTGGCAGATACGTATAGATGGGGTATTCCAGCTGTGAAAAGGTACAGGCAAGCAGTGGAAAGATGCCAGCAGAACTGTTTGGAGCACAGCTATGTAACTTCAGCTCAACCTTGCTGCAGTCTGGTCCCAAGCAGTGGTCCTGATTAGAGCATGCACCGTTGTACCTTTATCTTGCCTAAAAAAACTCACAGAAATGGAAGTTAGCACTGAATAGGCAATCTAAGTTGTAGCATGTTCGCTCAGAAAAATTCTAAAGTAAATAAGTGAACTGCAGCTTTCCTTAGTGTTGTGAAAAGGTTAGTTCTTAACAAAGATAAAAACTGTTTCATTAAAAAAGAAAGCAAAAAAAAAAATTGCATCCACTTGGTTTGAAGAGCTGCTAAACACATGCTTTTACATTAAAATGTGAAAGTGGTTAAGACTACATATTTTGTAATACGAACATTATAAAAATTGAAAAAGTCTCTTAAACTGATTGCTGTCAATTTTCTTCCTTGACAGGTGATGTTCTAATAAAAATTGGACATGCTAGTGTTTTAGGATGGACTCTGCAAGAGTTTAGGCAACTCCTGCACAATATTCTTATCACAACTACCCTACAAATCAGAGTTTACAGAGATTTTGTTGACGTACCTCAACACTGGCAAAGTGCAGTTGAATTAATTCCTGAAGCAAAGTTTCCTGTGACGACAGCAGAGTAAGTATTGTACATAACTAGAATTTCACACCTTGCTTATTATTCTAGTAAGAAACAAGAAATAGCGTAATAGCTTTTTCACTTTAGGATAAAATGTTAGTCTAAGGATTTACTTTCATTTATTTTTCTGAAATAGAAAACTGTGATTTGAAATGAACAAATACCAAAAGAAAAGTTTACTTTTCTAGTTACAGAGAAGACAGGGTCAGGACAAACATTAATTTTAGACATGCCCCTTCCTGCCTCCGCAGAGACCATAAAAAGTCTGGCTGGCAATAATGCCACTGCAGTCAAAGAGGCCATGGTGATTGCAATAGCCAAGGATCTAGAAAACTACAAGTAGCTGATGATACCAAGATGGAGGTCTTGCTACAACCATCTAAAAAGCTTATGTGTTTCTTAATCAGTCTAACTACTGACAGTGGTTAACAATTATGACTTTTAAAATTAAACTTCAGGAGAAAAAAAATGTTTCTTGTAAGAGCCACCGCATACAGAAGCTTTTAAAAATATATTGCGCTCAGTCCTAAAGGTGGCTCATACAGCAAGTATAATTAATCTAGATAGGATACAAGGCAGTTACAAGTTTTCCTGAGGCACAAAGTTTTAATGGAAAAGAAACCTCAGAGGCAGGGGAAGAAACAGAAGTATTACAAGGAGATAATGAGGCTAGAACAGCAGAAAGGAAGATCACGCAGCAAGGGGCTTTCCAAGAGATTAAACCTCTAAGCTTATGTTTAAATAAATCAAATTATTTGCTATTCTGAAGGAGCAGAAAAAGGATAGCTTGCTTTTCTATTAACTGAATTACAACTTCGCTATTACTTTAGAGTCCAAAGAAAACAGTGTGCAAAAGACTATGGACAATAGTATTAGCTTGATATCAGAGGAGCTTCAGAACTAATGAACTTGTATTTAGAACATGTATTCACAAAAAACTTAAGACTCCATGGTTAGTTAACTAAATGGCTATGGGAATTATTGCATGTTAAAGTAGTACCATGCTGTGTATTTTCAGCACAAGTGAAGGTGCTGAGGATGAAGGTGACACCAAGTCCAGCAGCGATGATGATGCAGACTTGGAAACTTTTCAGTATAAATCTTCCCACTTACACTGTTGTGAGTTCACTCATAAGTTACCATCAATATCCAAAATTTGGCAGATACCAGGCACAGGCCAGGCGCTTAAGAGTAGGCACAGACACTGGTTGTGATGCTGTACTTCATAATGATGTTGATGCATTGTGCAATTCCAAGTTTGATGCTAGCGGTGTTAGACCTCCTTCATACTGGCCTATGGAAACCAATGAGACCGGTTCCTCTTCCTTCTGCATGTGATGCATCCTTTGTTTCAGAATAGCTCAAAACCTGGACTTCTTCAAAACCTAGATTTCTGAAGCTGTATCTTAGCTGTTTTAATACATGCCTAGACTTCCAAAAAATCTGAACGTCCTAAGGTATTTGAAATTATATATTAGCTATATAAAGCTGTTTTAGCAATGCCCTCCCTCCCCTCGAAGATGTGTATCAATGCTACTTGTGGAGAAGACGTTCAGAAACACTACCTCTGCTAGTCCCAGACAAGTAGCACTTGCAAGCTCTAAGTTCTAATATATTCATCTTTGTTTGAAGGCAAGTTTCTTTGTTTACTTTATATAAGGATGGTGCAGACAGTTTATCAAGAACTTTTCCTGAATACATGGACAGCTAGTGGCAATTACAGTATTTGTCTGCATCACAATGATCAGTTCCGATATATCTATTTTTTGCATTGACTAAAATTCACCTTATTTTCTCACTGTGGTTTTACATTCAGTGTACAGAGCCAGACTTAGCAGCATTTTAGATACCATTTTCAGTGGAAAAAAGCTCAGCACAAAATGTATGAACTCAGCGCTTTATTTGATGAGGGCATGTCCACAATTACTCCAAATTAATCTTCTGAAAGAACTGAATTCATAAATAACATGTTAGTAGTAATTTATTTAGAACATAGGTGACTTAAAGCTCAGGTCCATCTTGAATCCGCATCCCAGTTTTGTTTTTACAACTCATCAAGAAAAGGAGTATTTCCTAAATCCCCACTAGCTGCCATTGATTTCTTCCCAGTGACAAATTTCTTCGCAGCCTGAAAATAAATCAGAAAGATGGATATAAGGAAATATTCACTACAATAGAATTTATCTTGCTGCTCATAGCCTCAGCTTCAAGTTATTAAAACAAATAACAAATCCCAACACTACAATAGCACATCTTCAAGTACACTATTTTCCTTTTGCTGTCTAAACTTACTTGCTTCCAGTCCAGCTCCTCATTACTTTATAATCTAAACAGGAATCGCAGAATTACAGTTGGATATGAAAGGCATGAACTCTTTGAAAATGGTTATTCCTAGAATTACTACACCACAAGATACAGTGTATCTCTCCTTACTACTAAAGCTGTTGCTAGTTGCTACTGCAACACAAATCAGTGGTGACTGAAAAAATAAGTTTTTTATCTTAGAATCTCTCTTTCTGATAAATTCCTGTATGAAGTTTGCTTCACATATAAGCAACAAGATTATTTGCAATAGCAATGCAGTTATGTCAATTTATCATTGAAAGGCTAATTGTTTTATTAAGCACACCAAATATTCTAGACTCAGGAATCCTAAATGCCTTGACACAAAAGTGCCTGCACTGGACTAGTATTAAGTTTTCCACGAATACTAGCTGGCAGTTTTGGTAAATTTAAGTGAAGCAGATGAGAATTTCACATACTCCCAGCTATGCTGGTTTTACAGTGTATTGGATTAAAGGGTCTTCTGTTAATAAAGACAGCCAGCTGGGATTTGTAAACGAGTTGGGTTTTTTTTAAAGATAGTATATGCGTCTGTTTATAAACACACACAAATGAGCACCAGTTCTGTATTAAAAAAAAGTTGCACAGTGATTAAGGAACACCTGTAGATGCCGACACATACTTACATTCACAACATCGGCAGTGGCTACAGAGTCGATTTTTTGAGCAACAACAGATGGTGATGTGTGTGTGCCAGAAACCAGTGACTCGGAGCCAATTTCATTCAGTAACCCTTCTGCAGTCTCCACTGACATCAAATAGGTGGCTTTCAGCTGGTTTCTGCCATCAAACAAAGCATTAAGGATGAGTGAGCATCTAAGTCCTGTTATTACATTCCTCACCGCCCCCATAAATGTAATGAGTTTTTGGTGCTTTTTAAGTTTTCAAGATTCCTCTCCATTTTGAAGTGTTTTCCTTTTCAAGTATGGAAGGGTTCTGTAGTTAGGGAAGAGACACCACAAATAATCCAAGCATGAAAATGACAGGGTACTTGAACACCTACGGCCTTGGAACAACCATCGACCCCACGCAGTCAGAGGATGTCTAGCTCAGAATTTTTTTCTGTTTGAAGTAACTAATGCAGGTACTCTAGCAATTAGACAAACTAATCTATCAAGTTTAATAATTAGGTTTAAAATTGATTCCAGTTTCTCATCAAGAACAGATGTACGCAATTTTGTTGTAAGCGACAAAGCAGCAATGAATGTAAATGGTTAGGTTCCTTGTGCAATAGTTCCATGTTCTGTTAAAAGACAGCAAGTTTATACTGTTTTTTCCGTTTTACACACTCTCACTTGCTACATATGAAAAATCTTATTTTTATAAACTAGTCCTTCTATTCTTTTTGAAAGTCAAAACGGCAGAAAATGGTTTATTGCAATAGAATATGATTAAGTAGTTTGGTATTTTTGACTGAATTGCAAGACTCTGCAAATATCACTGACCTTAAATTTGGTTTCTGGGGGGTTTTTTTTGGTTACTAAAGGAGAAAGAGCAATATAGAAAATATGTGAAGCCATTCCAGAAGGGAAACTCAAAAAAAACCCACCCCAAACCAAAAAACCCCTAAAACCCCACCCACAACACTGTAACTCCCTAATACTAGGCAGACAAAAAAAACCCCCACAAACCCCAACACCCCTCCCCCAACTAATAATGCCAAATATAAAGGTCCAGAATTCACCATTTAGCTACTAGTGACTAAGGCACAACCAATCATGTCTAGGTTATCGTGTTTTGTGTAATCAAGCTTTACGCGGAGTCTTGTAAGTATTTTACATATGCAACAGATAGTATTTTAGTTTTTCTACTTGAGTGAATCTGTACTATATTGTTGTATTGCACAACTACAGTTTTAGAGTCTCAGTGCAGTTTAACACTATTTGGAGATCAAGCACCAACTAATGTGCACAACCCTCTATAAATTAGAAACTCTAAAACTTTGTTGGTGTTACTGCATCTCTAATAGTAATTTTCCCCCATCTCAAATATTCCCAGGGGCACATATTTCAAGCACTTTGATGTAACATCACTAATTCAGTGCTTTACACTTGCAGACCCTCATTACTACTATTCCTTGAAGATGCAGAAGATTGCTTAATATAATTGTTTTGGGAATTGCTGCAGTGCTACTGTAAAGGGAGTTACCTAAATAATGCAATTTAGGATTCTAATTTAAATACATCTTAATACTACAGAGTGTGATTAAAATGACAGCATCTGCTGATCCTTGCTAATTTCCTACATTGAAACAGTTTTCAGAAAACATTAACACTTACCTAACAAGTTTTTATTATGAAATACCACTAGCAGAGAATCAGTGTAGCTTTGAAAAAAAGAGTATTGACAGTGCTTCAATTTTAATGCAGGGAAGTGAGCAGCTCCCCATGGAAATAATTATAGGACAATGATAAGCTTTGCTGTACAGAATAGTCTAAGTGTTTGACAAGCGCTACATGTTAAGAAATTTCTCTTTACAACACACAAGACAGTTCTTTACTCACTTACTTTGCCTTTCTGACATCGTCATCGGTGATGCTGCCCTGAGCAACTGCCTTTATCTGGTTCAAAGCAGCTTTAATGACCTGAGGAAAATTAAATCATTTAAGACTTCTTCCCTCATTAAATTTCAGTATGTTATTTCTATTATCTGACATTGTAGAAACTTCAGGGGAGAGCAGCTGCCGATGTTAGGATTGTCTGCCTGAACTCAATTCTGAACAGCTTTATAACAAAACTAAAAACACCGTAAAAAATGCCCAAGTGAGACACAAAACCCAGCGTAGATTTAAATTGCAACACCACATTCATTTCCACAGTCTCACCATTTTTCAGGAGAGTATTCAGTTGTGCCAGCTTCGAGAGCCAGCATGTTCCTCATGATATGCTTAGGCTTACACATGTAAATCAGCAATTACAGTCAGCAATTCAAGGCCTTTTACTAGCTCTAGTAGCTAGTTTACTAGCTTCATATTACGTATTTGTACTTTCCAGAAAGCAAGTCTCATTCCCAGCTTACAAAGTCAAGTCATAACTGAACATGCAGCAGCATTCTTATAAAAGAAACCAGATTAATTGGCTTTTTTTAGATGAATCAGTCACTATCTCAAATCAAAATGCTAGTTTGAGAGTTATGTTTTTAATACTTAAATTCTAATCAGCAACTCACCTCCCCAGCATTTGGAGCCTGGGATATGGTATAAATCCCAAAGAGCCCAGAATCAGAGTAGTTAACATTAAATGCAGAAGCCTGCAAAACAAACATCATCATCAACTGTCTCAAGTATCAGAACAACTCCGCATCAAGCATAGGAAAATAATTACTATTAGGATCTAAAATACTGTAATTCAGGAAGCTAAACTCCCATCTGTGCAGAGGAAAGATCAGATTGGAAGGCTTTCTCCGGAATACTGTAACTTGTGCAAGAATGAAACTAATTAAGATTCTAGCTGGAGGTAGTAACCTCTCAAAGGATAGTATAGGTTTTACTTAAAATTATTAGAGTACAGTAGTAAAGTTTTGAACTTACGTCAAATGGCTGGGTAGTTGCTTTAGCAATACCCTGGGACAATTTGCTGGTAACATTGCTTCCCCTCTTGACAAGTGGTCCAGCACCTAAAACATGCTGAAGAACACTGAACGCATTTGCTTCTTCACTTCCAACAGCAGCTCCTTCTGTTACAATAGCAGCATGGACAAGGCTTTCACCATTCTGTTCTCTGATTTCTCCTAAAAATAAAACAGAATAAAAGGTGTTCAGTTAGAAACTACTGTATGTTCAGAGGTATGGAAAGGAAACATTTCTAGCCAGGAGTTAGTTTCACGAGAGAGAAGCCAGGGTATGAAGTTATTGCATGTCCACTCAGGAAGACAAGCAAGAAGCTTTTAGTAGGCTGTAGGTCATTTTGAAAAGTCCTTTACATTCAAAAATTTTCTTGCAAGCACAAAAGCAAGGACCTTACTATGCCTTATTTGAACCTGACCCTAAGCCATA